AGCAATGCCATGCCAGGGCATAGAACAACTGAATTCACCTTAGCTTTATGCATTGTGTGGGTGGAACAAGCCTGCCTTTTAGTCTCCTATCACTCTTACCTCCTCCAAGGCCCTCCCCAGCTCCTGTCCTATGTGTTCTGGGATCATGCGCCACTGTGGAGCAGTTGGGATACTTCCCCAACATCTGTCCCAGGGAACAGATCTCCAGCACAAGGTGCATCCATTTCACTGGGCTCACTAGTGTAAAGGTAGTTCTGCTAGGGGTTATGAGGTACGTATCTTCCTGCTTTCTTGGGGGAGTGTCTTGTTACCATTTGATTTTGTCTGAAGAGAAAGGAGTTCTTCCAGCTCCTCCTTTTTCCCTTTCCCCCTCCATGGCATTCATGCTTTCTGCTTCTTTTAGGTGAAGGCCTTTGTCACCGAGGACATCCCTCTGTAGTATCCTTTCCCTGCTCCAGAAGTCACTTCCAGGCTTGTTTCCAGCCTTGGTTGCTGTGAGTGCACACACCTGTCATCTGGGTGCAGTGCCTGCCTGAGTCTGCAGGCTGCCTAGACTGGGAGCTTAGCAAGTGGGAGCCATCCTATGTCTTTTGATTGGGTGTTGGTACCAGAGCCTGATGATTTGCTACTGATCCTCCCAGGGTAGTGCTGTGGGCTGTAGCAGCAGCCACTGGGCCTGGTGTCCATAGCTGGGGTTAGGACTTAAAGCTCCCCCTCCTCCCCAGAAATAGTGTGAAGTTACCTTTGCCAACAGGAAGGAAGCAGTAAGTTCTGTACCCCAAACTGTCTCCCAGCCCTTCTGGTGTGAAGCACAGCCTCTAACTTCCCCTGGCTGGTGGTTCCTGCAACAACAGGCAAGGGGCTCCCCTACCCCCAGAAGCTTCCCATGCCAGTGTCAAGGGAGGGGCAGGCCCTGTACCTCACTTTGCCAGGATCCTTAACAGTGCCTTCCAGCCACAACCTGGTGATGAAGCATCTCCCTGGAGCTGACCCTGAACTGGTGCTCCTCAACATCAGATATGAGGAACTAGAGGTAAGAGCTGACTAGGTGTCTGGTGTTCCTGGGTATTCCAGCACCAGTTGACACCTTTGCTGAAGGCAGTGAACCAGCCTGTATTCCATGTTAGTTCCACAAGCCATCAGGGATCTACAGTGGTGGCTCTTGCATGGAGCTGTCAGTACTGGCATTTACTCAAGATACTTTACAGACTCCCCAGACACCTGTCCATCTTGTGGTTAGAGGGAGACCTTGGGAAATGCTGACCTTGAGTGTGCTAGGCTGTAGCCCCTCCACCAGCTCCTCAGGAACCTTCCATGAAAGTTCTGGCTGCATTTTTCCCACACCTGTTATTTTATGCACACCACATACCTAGACCTACCAAGTGCCCAGAACACCTGCAACCTCTATTTGGAAGATGTTGGCGTGCCCGGGGCAGATGGCAGGGAAGCCACAAGGGCCTGATCGTTGTGGCATTGCAGCCCAGGCCCCTTCCCTGCCACCCACGCTGAGGCGTGTTTGATGAGGAGGTCCTAGGACAGGATTCAGCAACCCTTGGCATGCATGCTGAAGTTTGGCGTGCAAAGGCATTTTACTCAGCACATGTGCCTCAATGCAGATGGTAGGAAAAGGCCTGATGCTGCGCTGCCACAAGGATTGGACCCCTTGCGGCTCTACCACTGTCCACCCAGAGGAGTGCACATACCCACCACTGGCAATGAGCCAGGCCAGAGCTCTGCAGACCCTGGTGCAGCTGCTTGCAGCATCCCTGCTGCCTGCTGTGAACAGTCCAGGCATTGTGGCAGGTGGCAGGGGCCTGCCCAAAGCTCAGGCCAGCTGTGGCAGGCAGCCGGAAGGCTACAAGCAGCTGTACTGTGGTCTACTCATTGCTTGTGATGGGTGCACACATGCCTCTGGGTGGAGAGCAGGAAAGGGGTTGAGGTTGTACTTCCACAACAAGAATCAGGTTCCTTGTGGCTTACCTGCCATCTGCACTAGTTCATGTATCCACCACAAGCAACAAGCCTGGCCGGAGCTCTGCTGCAGTCCCTGGTGCAGCTTGCTTGCTTGCTGCCATGGAGCCTGGACTGCTCACACCAGGTAGCAGGGAGCCTGCAAGCAGCTTCCTGGCCTGGCTTGTTGCCAGCAGTGGGTGCATTTATGTCTGCTGTCTGCCCTGATGGGGAGGAGCCAGAGTCCTGATCCTTGTGGCAGCGCAGCACTGGCTGTTTGCCCACTGTCCACCCTGAGGCATTTGTGCCAAGCAAAATGCCTTTATGTGCCATGCTCTGGCATGTCTGCCAGGGGTTGCTGACCCCTGTCCTAGGACCTCCTAGTCAGACACTTCCTGGCCCTGGTCAAACTTTCCATCTACCAGACCAGGAAGGAGGCCCTGGCCAAGGGGAATCACGGTGACTGGGGCTGCTTTTCACTCATTCAAGCTTGTCTCCAGGCAAGAGTTTTATTGGGAGTTGTTTGAGGGGCAGTGGGCGCTAGCCACCATTCTCTGCTCAGTCCTCCCCTTGGAATTCTCATTATTAACCTATGACCTGCACTCACATGTCTGTTTTTTCATTTTTTTGTCCAATGAAACAAATGCAAATAATGGTCTCCCTCTAATCACTGAGGGAGGCTTATGGTTTCCTGGTGTGCCTAGGCCCATTGTATCTGCATTACAAACAGACATGCTGCTTTAGGGAGTGAGGTAGGAGCATTGGATAGGGAGGAGCTGCTAGCTATTTCACTTACATCTTCTCATAGCAGAGGATCCTGTAGACTAGAGTGGTCATGAATGCTAGTTAGTCCTGGTTACTTCACTCCAGCCTCCCCCAGCTGGGAGTGCTATATGTAGAAGGAAAGGAGTGCTCCCTGTGGGAAGAACTGACTAATTCAGCCCTAACCTCTCCCAGTAAGAGATGGGTTGCTCACTATCCAGATGGGCTCCTGTCCCTTCAGGGAACTGAATTACTGGCCTGGTTGTGGCCATGGTGCCAGGTACTGGGATGCAATGTCACAGGTGAGGTGTAGGATGCTATAGTGCACTGCATTCCTGGTTTATTGCAGAGAATTCCCCTGAGTGACATGACCCGGGAGGAGATCAACCAGATGGTCCAGGAGCTGGGTTTCTATCGCAAGGAGTCACAAGATGCCCCAGTGCCTGAGGAATTCCAGCTTGCCCCCGCCAAGCCCCCGCTCCCCCTGCAGGCAAAAGAGGAGAACTCCAAAGTCTCACCCTCTGAAGCTTCTGCAGCCAAGAATGAGAGCCCGACTGAACCCAACAACCAGGAACACCCTGATCTCTAGGGAGCAGCAGGTTGTCTGTGGGGTCAGGTGCATAGGGTGGGCTTGCAAGAGGAAGGGTTAGGGGTGTAGCTTGGAAGTTGTGTATTTGCTTCAGTCTCTAGCATGCTAGTAACTGAGCTTTTAGATGGCTGTAGCAGTTTGACTCAGCAGCAGTGGGTTGGCTGGGACTGGAGCAAGTGCACAGGCAGATCTGGGATAGGGTGAGGAGGAGGACATGGGCTGAGTTGGGTTGGACAGAGAACTTACCCCACACCATTGCTTGGGTGACACAGCCTGTCCCCCCAGTGGTGCCAGCAGCAGCTTCAGTTCCTGGACAGCTATTTTATAGAGCAGTCACTCTGCATTCTGTGTGCTTGCCCACAGCTGCAGCTGAATGGAGCTGGGGCTGATGTCAGGCACAGGGAGTGTCACTTGTACCATGTGAGAGCATCCTTATCTCTCCCCACCCTGCTTTGCCATTGCCCTTCCTCCCCTGTAGCCTGACTGCTAAGCTCCGGGTGTTTGCTCCAATCTCTTTGGGGACTAATTTGTCTGGAACATGATGGCCTTTGTGCTTTCCATTAGCAGGGACCCCTAAGGTGTGGGGGACCAGGCTTAGTGCTTCTATGCACAGGCAATCCCTGTCTGCAAGGGACAGAATGAAGCCCTCAGTGAAAGCTCTGGGAGCTGGGGGCAGAAGAGCTGAGTCCCAGAGGGCATGGGAGAGCTGCATGCAGGAAAGCGCAACCAGGTCCCAAGGGTGCTGGAATCTGATTGCTTGTATCCAACTGGAGTAAAGTCTCTTTCATCCAGTGCTGCAGCCAGTTTTCTTTCTTGAGGGTTCTGGGTAGGAGTGGATCTACCAGATCTTCCTAAAGTTTCCTTCCTGCTCCTGAGCTTGCCTGGCTCCAGGGGGTTAAGCACCATTCCTGGGTGGCTGAGTCACACATGCCAGCTGGGGACATGGGAAGAGGGGTAAGTGGCTCAGACCTGTTGGATTTCCTGGGACAGCAGGGGCTGAAGGACTTGCAGAACCTTTTCAAATGCAGCAGTCCTGCTCTGCCATACCCCTCCTTCTCTCAGGTAGACAGAGGGAGCACCAGCCTCTCCCCTCAGCAGAAAACCAGAGATAAACGGGAGCTGGTACTGGGAATTGGGAGCTGGGCTGCTCTTTGGAATTTGTGGGCAAGGGGGAAAAGACCAGTATGGTCACATGTCCTGCTGCAGTGGCTGAGGTGAGGCCTGAAAGCACCTTCACTGCTCCCAAACTTGGCCAACCAGGAGAGCTCCCACTTTGGAGAGGGTAGTGTGGGAAGAAAAGCCCAGAGCTCCTAGAGTCAAGACTCTGTAAATGGGGCCATTGGCTCAGCCTAAAACCAGCTCACACCTAGGAAGCCCTACAGCAATCACTCATGGTTCATCCTAGCCCCTGGGCCTGGCTTCCTCACTGCTGTGACATGCTCAGTTCCTCTCCCCTGTCTTTGGGTGGGAATCCCTTGGTGTAAGCAAGAGTTGCTTTCAGGTCAGTGGCCAGGGTTTTACCTGTCTGCCCTGGGTCCTTGGCAGAAGCCTGATGGGCTTTGCAGTTACTAGAATCTGCTTTGGAGAGGGTCAGGCACTACCTGGGGGGCAGAGATGGGCTCAGGCAATAGATTTTGCAGTCATGCCTCAGAAAAATCACTTGACAAAGCAGTTCCCACCAGCCATAGTATGACCTCTGGGGTGCAGTATGGCAGCTGCTGCTTCACACACTGGTCTTCTGAGCTGCAAGGAGTATCCTGTAACCCTATGGGTAGGGTGCAAAGGGGGCCACAAACTGTCCCTATTCTTTCACCCATGGGTGAATGGGAAGAGGCCACATCCTGGGACTGGCCCCAAGCCAAGTCACATGCATGCCAGGCCTAAGAAGCCAACGGGACCCATGTGCTCTGTGGGTTGTGTCACCTCACAGGTGGGGTGAACTGGAACAAGGCAAACACAGACGTGGACCAAAATGTGGGAAACAAGAATAAGCTCTTTGAAGGAGGACCTTCCAACCTTGTGGGCCCCTGATCCTGGGGAAGAGGGAGGCCAAGGCTCACTGTTGGGGACATGACTCAGTCCAGTGCATAACCATCCCTCATGCACAGAGGCAATGGACAGCACTATGTATCAGCACCAACCCTGGAACGTGAGGAAGACGGGACAGAGAGCATACTGCAGCTGGGCCAAGCCCTGTTCCACTCAAGAACATGGTAGGCAGTGAGGCCAGTGCCAGGAGACCAAGGAGTACAGTTGTATAACAGTTGTCTGTAGAATTTATTGTCTGGCTGGAACCGGCACGTGTCTTCAAAGGTGTGGAAACAGTGGTGAATTGGCAAGTGGTACAGAGCATGGGGGGCGGGCCCTAGAGCCAGGACACAGTGCAGGGAACAAGTGGGACAGAGACAGGGCCATCCCAGGGGTGCTATCCAGCCCATCCCTTTTGGAAAGGGTCTGCTCCCCATAAATTCAATCCCTCCTGTCTTTGGCTTTGGTCCGGATCCCCCAGGGTAAAAGGTGATGCTACTCTCCACAGAAGTGGCAGCCCCTGGGTGTGGGACTGAGCAACAGGAAGAACACTAGGGTAGGTGCTGTAGCCAGATACGTTCACAACACTGGATGGAGCTTACTGATAGGGGTGCACCAATGATTTGTTGAGCTGATATTGATGGCCGATTATTGACCAGTCATATCAGCCGATACTGATCCGATTGCTGATATGCAGCCTGGCAGTTTGGAGAGCAGTGTCTGGCTGGTAAGTCTGTTGGGGGGGGTGGTGGCAAATTGAGGCCCCCATGGGAAGGGAGGGAGTGGGGCTGGGATGGGCAATGCCCAGCCAGGGCAGGGTGTGGGACGGAGCTGGTGGCTCATCCAGGGGGTGAGGTGGGATGGCTCCTGCTGCTGCACGCACCCCTGGGGGAGGCATGAGGGGCATGTGCCCTACTGGATCTGTGCATGGGACACAGGTGGGCTGCCTGCTTGGGGCCACAGCTGCTCCAGCCTCTGCCCTGCAGCTGTGCTCAGGCCAGGCAGAGCAGGTGGCAGTGCTGGGAGAGGGGACTACGGGGCAGGGGGGGGGAAGGAGAGGGGCTAGAGCCTCCCTGCCTAGCCCAGCCCGCGTGCAGCTGCAGGGAATAGGCTAGAGCAGCACTGGCCGTGAGTGCACAGTGGCAGCCCACCCACGCCCCACACAGATCCGTGGGGGCACATGCTCCCCATGCCTCCCCCAGGGGTGCGCACAGTGGTGGGAGCCTCCCCCTGGATGAGCCACCGGCTCTGTTGGGCAACCCATCCTGGCTGGGCACTGCCTGCCCCAGCCCCACTCCATCCCTTACTATGGGAGCCTTGATTTGCTCCTTCCTTCCCCCATGCCCCTTCCTCCCTAACAGACTTACCGGCTGGATGCTGCTCTCTAAGCTGCTGGGCTGCATTGTGTGCATACTGCAGCTGTGTGCACACATTATTTATCAGTGACATTACTGGCCACCTCAGCCAAAAAAAGCCAAATGCCAATAATGTCAATTTTCCTTTTATCGGTGCCAATACGATATGGACCAATGTATCAATGCACCTCTACTTACTGAGGGATAGGGCACCAAGTAAAGGCTGCATTGGGCAGGGAGACTCCCTCCCGAAGTTCTAAGGATCACAACTTTGCAGGGCTGCATACAATGCACCATATCCAGAGACATCTCTGTGGGCCCTGGGGGCCAGTACTGAGAGATCCACGCACATCCAGAAACCCTGGGGGTGCATGGATCCAGGCAGACAAACCCCCAGGGTCTCAGATGGTCACTCTGGGCCTTGGAAACAAATGCATCCATAGCCTGAAACAGACACACACAGTGCTTCCCCACACCCAGGGAGTGGGGCATTGTTATTGTACAAGATAGAGGCAACTCCTTTAAGATGAATAACTTAATACTATATAAAGCAGGAGGGAAGGATGAGACCCAAGCTTGCAGAAGTGAGTGCTGCCTCCTCAGTCCTCTAGAGCACTATTGGCCTGGTTTGGCTTTTGGCAATCAGCCAGGCCACAAAGCTCAGTTTCAGCCTGCCTTGAAGCAGAGAAGACAGTGGAGGGAGCTCAGGCCAAAGCTGAAGTCAATGCAGTGCTAATCCCTCAGCATCACACAGACCCCTCGCGGCAGCCTCCCCACGGGGCTAGACTGCTGGGAGCAAGTGAAGCCCCACTCTGCACAACTGGGTCCCTGTGAGGGGAGAGGCAGAGTATTGGGAGGGTGTCTATTAGCCGCTGCAGCTGCACAGGGCAACAGGGCAGGCTCTAGAGCTCTTTCTGCTGCAAGCGTAGCTCATGGCGCCGCAGGTGATTGCAGAGAGACTGTACGTAGGTGAAGACACACTTGGGGGCAGGCAGCTTCCCCATGATCATCATATCTTCAACCTCCATCAGGCTTCTTCCCCATGATCATCATATCTTCAACCTCCACAAGGGGCACACAGTCCACCAGCATCCTATGAGGAGACATGGCACTAAGTACACTGCGTGCCACAGGGCACTCCCTTAACAAAAGGTCAAAGCCCTTCCTGTACCACACAAACTCCCCCTCTTCTAAGACCCCAGCAGCACAGAGGTACCAGGGCTTGATCACTTTGATCGGGCCATGAGCCTCTATCCCCTCCCTCTGCTGAGACCCTAAGCAGTGCAGGGACACCAGGTGCCAATTCTTCCATTAAGACTCCTCCCTACAGTCCCAGTCCATTGGTACCAGACTCCAATCCCCAAACTGAGAACACACATGTTCAGCCACTTCTTCCGTCTGCTAAGATCTCATGGCATAAGGACATCAGGCTCCAAGCCCTCTACAGAAAACCTGCTTGGTACCCAAGTTCGCTGAGAATCAACACAGCTTAAGGACAGCAGGCCACAACTCTCTTGTTCAGACTCTTCTCGGTCCTCAGTTCAGGAGTACTGAGCCCCCCACCTCTGCTGAAACCGTGAAGAGCCCCTATCCTTGGGTTGATTCCAGAGGTCTCCTTGTACAGGAACACCAAGTTCTACCATTTTTCAGATCCCATGTACCCCCCATCCAGAGACACACCAGGGCCTTGTCCTTACACAGGGGTCCTCCTCCATCCCATCCCAGAAAGTTCATGACTTCCCTAGGTTTAGTTTGAGCAAATGCACACAGCACATCAGTAGATCTCTTCAGTGCAATGTCTCATAGACAGCTGCTGCCTCAAGCAGCTGTGTCCTCCAGCCCATGTCCCAGCACCTCTAATCCCTTCCCCCCACCATGTGACTCATTAGCCAGAACCATGGCCCGTCTCCTCCAGCTGGGTACTCTGTTGCATCCAGCTATATGCTAAATGGTGACTAATTCTCTTCACAGTGTTCCTTGCCTTGTCCCTGCCACAAACCCACAGTAGCAGAGACCTGCCCTAACTTGCCCGGGCTCTCTAGATGGCGCCTTCTCACACACACACAAAACCCCCAACCCTAGCCAGCTCACAGGGATTTCCCAGACAGGTCTCCCCTCTCTCTTTTTATGCCAATATTTTACACCAATGCTTCCCAAACTTATCCTCAGCATGGCCTCATTTATGGCCCTATTTCCTTAACATGACCCCATTTCCTTAGCACAGCCCCTCACTCCCAATCCACAGCTTCCCCACCCCCATGACCCCATCTGCTGATGTTGCAACCCCATTTGGGGTCAAGACCCACAGTTTGGGAACTGCTGTCTTACAATATTCCACCTCCCCCAGCAACTCCCAATTTTCCCTCCTCATCCTCCTAGCACTGTTCTCTCTCTGTCCCTTTATGTCCCAGTGCTCCCAGTTTTACCTGCATTATACATTTCTCTATACCAGTGGTGGGCAAAATATGGCCTGTGGGCTGGATACGGCTCACAGCTGCCCCTGCAGTGCTCTGCCAGCTCCTGCCAGGGCAGCTCGCTGCATGCCCGCCTGCTGGCCCAGGCCCCAACTAATGCACACAGCTTCCATAGGGTTGTTCCCAGTGCTGCTCTGCTCCCCTTGCCTGCCTGGAGTGGTGCAGCAGCAGGAGGACAGGCTGCCACTGGAGATGAGGGGAGTAGAGCGTCCCCTCACCCCCAATTGGCCTCTGGAACCTAGTGCCCAGGCACACCCCCTCCCCCAGGGCAGGGCAGGCAGGGAGTGGATCAGCCTCATCCAGCCCTCCTGCTACAAAACACTGCTCCCTGCCCACCCAAAGCCCCATAGGGAGTTTTGGTGAGCTGTTGTGTGGGGAGGGCGCTGACCTGCCCTCAACAGCTCACCAAAAATTCCTATGCGGCTCTTGGGTCCAAACAATTGTATGACCCTGCCCCCCACTCTCACAGTTCCTGCCTAAGTGCCCAATCATAGAGCAGGGGAAGAGGGTAGCCTTCTTGAGCAAAATATGATGGCCTTATTGTCACTGAAAGTCATGGGAAACAACACACATTTTAGGTAATGGCAGAAATGTACAAGGAACAGCAGAGCTGGAAGAGCCAGACCCACCAAGTACCATATTACTTGTGATATGTTTGAGCTGCATGGCTGCATTCAGTTACTCACCCTGGATGAACAAGTGCTCCCTCCTCTGCAGCTCCACCCCACCCATCCACTTACAACTGAGGGCTCTGGAAACCAAGCTTTCAGAGCAAACATGGAGAACCCTTGCAATTTCCCTATGGATGGAGGAACTATCCTTTAACACCCCATTTTACTTACTCCATCAGTAACTGACACAGCTGACCTCAGAGCTGCCCACTTAACCACCTGTCCACTGGGCCTGACACTGCCCAAGCCTGAGATGCTGCCAAAAATATTCTGTGGTCCAAGTGAGAAAGTAGTGGCAAGCGAAGTGTATCCAACATTGCCCGCTGATATACATCTCCCACGTCCTAACGGATGACCCTCCCTACTACTCATCACCCCCCTCATTCCCTGGAAACCTTCAGTCTTTATTCCTGAGAGCTATCCATCATTCAGTAAACTGCAGCTGGTGAAGTCGATAGTGTAGAGGCCTACAGCCAATCACCCCACTAAACAGCAGTCAGCAAGGGATCAGTTTTGGGCCATTACCAACCCAAGTGGCAGGGTGCCTGGAAAGCAGAGTCAGTGACTGTCTAGATCACTCTCACACTATAACAAAGTGACCCAAACACAATGGAACAGCTGCTGGCCAGGGAGCAAGACCCTGGACTTGCTAGACATCACCTTACCACCCACTAAACCTGGCTGCTGGCTGGCTCTGCCCTTACTGTCAGGGCCTCACCTCCTTCCTGCTAAACAGCTGCTTCATAGGGGAAGTGGCAAAAGCTCCTGGGAATGTGATCTATTGGGGCTGCCAGCTGAAATGTTAGTACCTATTGGGGAAGCAAACCCCAGTGAGGAAGTGCTGTGCATGTACAGTGGCTTTGGGCCACAGTGAAAGGATAGGTTAAACTGCCATACTATTGACAAGGCTGTGCCACTTCCACTCCCAAGCCTGCTCCCGACACAAGGACACCCAGTCAACACAGCAAGATCAGACAGGCTTCTGCTACTGCAGCCTGGGGAGGAGAAGGATGGGATGTGTCAGGTATCACCCTCTGCCAGGGCCCTGAGCTCCAGCATAATCTCCCAGGGAAGATTTCATTAGGATCTGTTGCTCTGTCAACATCAACAGGACCTTAGCAGACATCACAAACAGGTTCTGAGAAGGCTGATGTGGAGTTTCCTAACTGAAACCCCATTACTGGCCAACTGGGTTCCCTGGAGGATGGGGGAGGAGTTCCAGGCTGTATCAGCACTTGTATGCTGTTTAGGGCTCGGTCAGGGTCCTTCATAGCAAGGATGAATTTAATAGGGCATCAGGATAAACCACACGGTGATTAGGTTAAGCAATGGGAATCCAGTTTCAGATGTGTCAAGCCATGGTCTGCAAAGGGGTGTCCTGCAAGCCCTGCACAAAGCAAGGAAAGAACCCAGGGCCTTGGGCTGGGGCAGAGATCATTTGGTAATGCAGTGCTCTGGGCTGCAGAGGTCTCTGGTCAGTCCCATCTGCTCCAGTTGGACCTTGGGAGCTCTACACAGGAATGAGAGAGCTGATGCACAAACTGCCAAGAAGGGGCAAGAATTAAGGGAGCAGTCTCTGCCTCATGCTGATCTCAACTAGATGGGTATCCTTAGGCAGCTCACACACCTGGTGTGTAACAGGGGCTGATGCATATTGCCTGCAGCTAGGGAGCAACAAGACCCTTGTGTGGAATTTGCTGGAGAAGGAAACAGCAAGGATCAGTATGTTACACCCTGTCACCACCACCACCACCTAAAACCAGACATCAGACCCCTTCTGAAAATGCTTGGAAAGAGGGAGCTGCAGGGTATGGACAGGAACACCAGTCCCACGCAGCAGATTCTGTGGTAGCTTCTGCCGTCTTGCCATATCCACTGAACCTCTGGCAGGGCCAGTGGCCCTCCTGTACAGCCCCCTGCTATTCCAGTTCTGGACTCACTGTCCCAAAGAATTCTGCTGATACACCTGCTTCACTCTGGGACCTCTACATGGTTCTTTTAATGCAATTGAGTCCCCAACCCTAGTGCCGACTATCCCTGCTCTGCCAGCACCCTTAAGTTTTGAAGCACAGCCCCTCACTATCCCAACCCTTGGCCCCTTCTCAGTGAGACAAACAGCAGAAATTACGTACTCCAAACACCAGAGTGGGTCTGTGAGCTACAACTGGCTTGGAGCCTAGGAGTCCACAGCAAACACCTCCGGCCTGTCAGTGCTCAGCATCTTTGGAAATGCTAACTCAGGTTGTCTAAGGGCAGAGGCAGTGAAGTACACCCCAGTGCAGTCAGCCCCAGTCAGGTGTGTGATGGAAAAGCTGAGACAACCTTAAGGAGACAATCCCTGTCCTTATAAAGGCATTGTTTATTCTTCAGCTTGCTCAGAGCAGTGTGGAGCCAGTGTCCTGGGGGAGGAGGCTCCACTGTAAGTAGGGATGCCTCTGAAGAAAGGCACAAACATTACCAAAAAGACAGCAAGATGGAAGTGCCTGAGTCACACTTTCCAGACTCCCTGCTCACTCTCCTGACCATATATGACTAGGAGGCACCTCACAGTCAGCATGCTTGGTCCCTGAGCTGGATCTCACAGTGTTACTCTGTTCAGCTGCTCTTACATAGGTGCTGACCAGTTCCTCTGAGGCAGGTTCCAGTGCTGGAGGTCACAGACCTCAGGGACCTACAGCAAAAGACTATGGCAGTGGCAGACGGGAATGGGGGTACAGAAAACATACTACTGCCTTTCACAGGATGCAAAGGCTTTGGTCTCTGAGAAGCCCCAAGCACACAATAGCCTCACTGCTACTTCATGACTTCATCAGCCCCCTACTTGAGCCGGAGGACATCCAAGCCTTCACTCTGGGAGTGAGAGGGAGCACAAAGCAATGGGAATGTGGGGAGCTCAGTGTATCATGGAGGTCTGCCTGGAGGAGGGGGTGGAGCAGGGATAAGGGCTGCTGGGAGTCACTCTGGGACTCATCCATAATCCAAGCAGTGCTGTTCTTGCCTCCAGTCACAGTTCCTGCTGCAAAGTGCTTAAGTGTAATTAAAGCAGCAGTTCATAGCAGCTCATCCCCATTCTGCCTCCAGACTCAGGGAGCAAGGGAGAAAAATCTAATTAGAGGCACTGGCACATCATCTATGAGCACAGCACCCATTTCTTTGTCAGGGAGAGCCACCCAGCTCACTCCCAGGCTGTGGCTCACATGGAGGCTCACCCTGGCTAGTGAACACTACTCTGAGGTGCTTCTTATTAGGATATCTTCCCCACCCTGTTACAAAGCTCCCAGCTTGAGGAGTGTTTTCTGGAAAGGCAAACCCAGCAAAAATCTGCCTGCAGCTAACAATCCTCATATTTAGTCCCCTTTGAACCTCGGGAGGGACGGAGCACAGGCTGGACTTAGATCCTGATTCACCCCCTCTCCTACCACACATCCGCACACCTTACCACACATCTGCTGCTCCCCCTACCCTGCTGATACCCCCATCCTCCCAGCACAAGGTCGTGCTCCCTGAGGGCCCTCCTGCTGA